GTCGAGTCACTTCCCGGGCTGGTGACCGGAGGCCGTGCTATTTCAGTAAGGCTGGTCCCAGGGCGTGGGGGACAGTGCGTCCAGTCAGTGGCCCCCGAACGGTCTAAACTGTCCACTTCTGCAGACGCCTCTGGGTGGGACCAGGTGCAGAGCGGATGCATGTGTCTCAGGGTGGAAATACGCAGGGGATGCAGATCGGTAACCCCAAGAGCAGTGCTTTTGGCTGTGCCAGAAGCCGGCTCCACCCTTTCCCCAAGGACCCCAGCCCCCTGGTGTCTGCCCACCTCCTGCACCCCCGCTCCCCGCCCTCGTGCTTTCTAATGGGCCACGGCCGTTAAGTTGTCCCTGTAGCAATTTAGATCACAGAAGAGACTTCCACACACCCTTTCAGGTTAAAACCACGAGGATAAAGAAAGAGGCAAAATTATTCCACTGTAGCTACGTGTTTAAATTATATGGAATGCTGCATAAATTGTCAAGTGCAAAGAATTATTCTGATAAATTAAAATACTAATTAAATAGGCTATTGCAGAATCTTGAGAACATTGTAGGGTTCTGCTCCTCCAGCTAATTTGCATATCCTTCATCTAGTGAATTTAATTTTAAAGGACTTCTTTTTGTGTTTGGAAACCCTTTTTGTCTCCCGCGAAGATAAGAATGGGCTTTATGCATTGTTCTCGCCTTTATTAAAGCAGCTCCTCCCGGGGTCTCTCAGTCCTGGCCTGCTGGTGGCTCACGCCCACCAGCTCGGGGTCTGCATTTGGCCGTGAAAATAACTTGGAGCCGACATTCGACAGAACATGTAGGCACAGCAAAGCTTTTCTTTTCCCCTCAAAGGCCTCAGCAAAGCCTGAAAAAGTGGCAGTGAGTTTCACGCCCCGGTGGAGGATGATGCTGCAGTTAAACGTGTTTCCAGAGAGAAGGAGTGGTTGCTGGCTGGGAGGGGAGCACGGTGGCTGGTGCCCCTGAACCAAGTCTGAATGCCTGATGGAGGTCACGGCGTACACCTGGGTGAGGGATACCACGTACGAACGTATGAGATCCAGTCCCACTGAGCAGAAGGGATGGGTGAGAGGAAGTCCATGCAGCTGTGCAGGGAAGTCTCAGAGGAAATAAACACAATGGTGAATGTGTAAGAATGATGCGGGGAAGATTCCGGAATGGCCTGAGAGCAAATGTGCTCAAGACTACTGGGCTTGTTGCTCTTTTAGGTCAATTTGAGCTAAAATAAATAAATATAGATAAACAAACAAAAAACCCCCGAAAGGGCTGTGCTTAAGATAAATTGTGTACCTTTCACACATGCTGGAAAAAAGGCACCATTACAGTGTCTCTGTTTGGCTACCATCCCCACCAATGAGAAATTTCAGAGAACGAAAAAATTAAATAAAGAGTGAGACAGACTTTGTTGAAAAGGGCTTGATGCCCAAGACTGAGAAGTTCACAAAAGAGCACGAAACCACGAGCAGTGGGTTGAAGTCCCACGGACGCGCGTGTGCCAGCTGCCAAGGGGACTTGCAGGTGTGACTGGAAGCCACGTCAGCCGTCTCTGCGGGCGTTTCTCGGCTGAGGGCAGGAAGATGGGGGCCCTGGGTGGGTTCTCAGAGGACCCCAGCTCCAGGCAGGTCCTCGGGGCACTGTCGCTCTCTGGACGAGGATGGGGGCGGGCTGGAGGTGGATGCAAAGCTGGCATGATTCACGGTTCCGGCTCGAGTTGTTAGGAGGTACCACGGCCTCAGGAGGCTCCCATGGGCATCACGGCAGAGGCTCCTCATGTAAAGAGCCCCTGGTGGGGACACAGCCTCAGCGAGATGCAGAAGGCTCATGCTGCCCTTGGAAAATACAAGGAAACGTGGACAAAGTGGGGTTTTGGGGGCAGATTCACCACTTGCTGAACAACAGCCGCTACAGAACAGAACCTGTGGGTTAATGTAAAGCTGAACAGTGGTGACCGGTCCTCCCCGCAGGGTGCCGCTCCTGGGTCTGCCCTGGTTGTGTGTGTGCGCCCGCGTGTGTGTGCCCGTGTGTGAGCGCCCACGTGTGTGGTTATTTGGAGGAGGTCCACTTTGGGGAGGGGTGGTTAACACCCTGCGTCATGTGAGGAACATAATAGGATCGAAGGATGGAGCAGAATGGGGACAGACGTGGCGTCCTGACCCAGGTGACAGTGATGGGCCGCCTGCCCCGCCTGATCTATCACACCTGCAGAACAGGTGACGCTCCTGGGACTCCCATAGCGGTTAATGGAACGACCGGGAAGACAGCGATCCCTCGTGCTGATGCTGGAGAGACGAGGTCGTGTCCGGGCCGCTTTCCAGTGGATCCCGGGCGCTCTGACTGCCCGCAGGACGCACCTCCAGCACGTCCGTCCCATCCATCTCAGGGTTTTCGTTTCTCAGGGACAATTCGGTGGAGTGCTGTGTCAGTTCTCAGTGACAAACCCTTAACGGACGCAACACCTTGTCAGCACGAGTCTGGGTCCCTGGGCTCCCTGGCTGAACCCTCAGGCAGGACGTGGACCCTGAGAGCCGGTCAGCCTGGAGGGTCCACAGTGGCCGCACTTGGGAACGGGTCACCATGAGGGTGAAATGACATCACTTTCCAAGGCGACGCCCATGGTTTTCCGAGGATGATGCCGCCATCAGGAACATTGCTCAGGTAGGCTTCGGGGTGACCTTCCAAGCAGCTGATGCCCCTTCTAGAAGTTTCTGCGTTGTTGGAGGTGCCCGTGGGAAATTTTCTGGTAGAAACGAGGACGCGTGTCTTTCCTCCGCAGCCTCTGAGGCCATGAGCTGAGGTCGGTCAATAGTGGGCCCCATTCCCATGATGGTGGCTGGAACAGTCCGACTGCAGACGTGTTCAGATGCGGGGAAACATGCGTTTTAGAATCGAGGAAACGTGACATGTTAGACTTTGGGTAGAAACAAAGTACTGTACGTATGGGGCTGGAGCCCGCTGGACCGGTTACTGGAGCTCGTTTTTACTTTTTCAGGAATTTTTTGAGCCGGTTATTAATAAACACAGCCATTATGAAAAATTAAGTTTTACACACTTGCAGTTAATTACGTTAAAGACAAGAGGCCTCGATACCCAGCCAGTCGCCTGTACATTTCATCACTACCGGGCGCTGCGGCTCCCCTCCCCCTCCGCACCCCACTCGGGGGCCGGAGCTGTGTTCACAGAGGGGGGAGGTCAGGGGCGTGTCTGGCGGGGAAGCGGCTGCCAGGGCCTGGGGCGAGGAGCCAGCCCGGACCCTGGACTGGCCTGCGGCAGTGGTGCTTGGGGGACACAGGGAAGCTGTGTTGAGACTGACTCTCCCGCCACGTGTGGAACGGGGACAGGGCCCAGGCACAGAACCTTCTGCACAGCGTCGGGGGCGGGCGTGGGTCTTCGGGCAGCGAGCAAGCCCACAGTCACCTCGGGGCTCCGCAGGCTCGTGCAGGACACAGCCAGGACCTGTCCCTCGTCCCTCAGGCCCGTCCCCGCAGCCGTCACACTGCCCACCCGGTTGGGAACCCATGGCGGCCGAGCCTCAGGTGTCTCCACCTGGCCTTCCCAGCAGGTTTGCTGACCCCTGGACTGGGTCATCTGCATCTTACTGCCTGGCTGGTTGGTTCATTCCTGAGCCTGGAATGCCTGTCACTTCTCGGCAGCAATGGTGGAGCACTTTAATTTCCATCTTTACTTTGTGCTTTGTGTCCCTCAGCCTATTAAAGACTCACTGTTATCCCCGAGGAGCCTGTCATTCAGCAAAATGCCTCCTTTGTTCACAGGGGAACATGAAAATCAATTGCTTTATACTCTGTCTCTTAAGAATATCCTCCTCCATTCAAGGTTTACCTTTGGGCCACTGGCCCTCCCTGCCCCTCAGCACCCCCCCAGCTTAGAGGCTCTTAAAGTGCTGGCGCTCTATCTAACCCCAGGTTGGCCTCTGCCCCCCCCCCCGCCCCAGTGCTTGCATAATTACCTAAATGTAAGAAATAACGTTGGTTTGTTCAAAGGAAAGCTTTCTACCAGACTATGAGAGAGCCCCAGAGGCGGGGGAGGCAGGCCATAGCAGGATCCGGTTTGTATCCCTCTGAAAGATATAATTTCATTACCCAAGACTAACGTAGGTGTTTTACAATAAGAGGTGAAAGTAATTGCTATTTTCTTGCTATCTCGTTCTGCATTAATCACAGTTGCAATGCACTCTTCCTTCTTAGGGTTTGCAATAAAATCTATTTTTTCTGGTTTTCATTTCCAAAATGACAGGGGCTTTATCCGAAAGAATACTTTTACAGAATCGTAAGCCAAGGTCAATTGCTCTGTGACACACTTCCTCTCCAAGAGGTGGGGACCGCGGGTCTGCCGTGCTGGCATCGGGATTAACTGGGCTTCCTCTCCGGCTGCTAATTGTTTCCAGGGCTCAATCCGCTTGGTCTGACACGGAGGGTAATTTATTCTTGGAGAGTCTTCCTCGCTGTAAGTCAGGAGCAAACTAGGATGAGGGTTGATTGTGGTGGAGGCAAATTATTATAGGATATTCTCCTGGGGCAGGAGTAAGAGGGGTACAGCAGCTCCCAGGACTCACGGAATGAAGGCGCAGTTCAGTCTTGCCTGCTAGCGAGTTTGTCTTGTGAACGCGCAATGCTTGTGAATGGAACCCAGTTCCCAATGATTATACACTTGTAACCATCATATCGTTCGAAAGTAAGGCTCTACAGTTTGCAAAGCAGGTCTGCCCACCATTTCTCAACCAGTCTTCACAAGGATGCTGTGAATTTCCTATGGACATTCTGTGGGCAAAGCTGGAGGGACTCACATCCTGGCCCTACATCTGCCGGCCCCTCGGTGGGGAGCCCCCTGCCCCGGTTTCCACCCCAGGCTTGTCCACAGCACCCGTTAAAATGGCGATCTGGCAGTGACTATGGAAGTGTCTGCAGAGGGGGACGCTCAGGGTGTCTGGAGAACGCTTGCCTCTCAAAGCTGACCGCTTACTTCTTAATTTCCCCTAACAGCTGACAGCAAGGACCAACTGGAAAAAATGTCTGGACTGAGAGTTCTTCAGACTGGAGTCGGCTCGGTGAGTAGCTGCGGGCAGTGTGGCCCGGGCGGCCCGGCGGGCTCGGGCCGGGGGCAGAGGTCAGCCGGCGCCAGGCGGGGGGCTGTGGCAGCGGCGGTCCCGGCGTCTGGGCCGGGTTAGTCCTCCCGTCCCGTCGGCAGAAGTGCCGATGCGCCATGCCAGGCTCACCTGACACTGGTTGCCTTTGGAATCGTGATTCGGTGTCTCCCCAAGAAAAAGCGGTCATGGCTCAGAAAACACTGGATGCTTCGGAAACTTCCTCCTTCAGACGATTCTCAGTTGCTGAGCCTCTATATTAGCAAAAGAGAAGCTGCTCTCTCCTCTGGGCCTGGTGGGCACACTGTCACCTTCCTTGTTAAAGACGCGTATGGGGTGGGGTATGAGAGGAGGACTGCTGATACATTTAATGACCCTCAGAGGCGTCGTGTCCCAACGTCGCTGCGCTGGCCTCAGAAGCAGGTACTTGACCAAACCCTCCATCAGCAATTAGAGCCGATGGCACTCAGTCCCAGGCCCTGGCAGTTGCCTGAGCCCCCTATCGTGGGCAATTGATGAGTTGTACGCACAACGGCGGACGCGACTCCTCTCGGGGGTGGTTGTCTGTGCTCGCGCGTCTAAAATCCCAGATGTCACGGCACCCGCCGTGATAGTAATTAACTATTAAGGGCACTTATTTACGATGCTCCTTGCTCAGGGTGGAGATGCCCCCACGGAGCCACTCGAAGGCCAGCTGCTGTCTTTGGGGGAGGCTCCGCTCGGCCGTCACGGTCCCGGCTCTTGAAATAAGAACTTGTTTAGTGGCTGGTCCTCCGCAGACGGAGCCTCCAGCTCTGCAGGCAGCGGGCGGGCTGCTTGCCGGGGGCGTTTCGCAGGGGGCGCTGGCCTCGAAGTCACCGTGTTCCCGGCACGCAGCGGGCACAGAGCGGACAGGAAGCTCGGTGACCGCAGGCTCATCAGAGCGCGGGGCTGGGTTGATGAGGCTTTGACAGCTGAGGACATCCTGGTCTTTTCTCCCGAAACTCACAGTAACTTTGGTGGCCGGGGAGGGGGAGGGGGGCGCCGGGAGTCTGTGGGTCCCTAAGACCATCTGTACCCCATGGGGTGCAGTGACTAGTGGCGGGAAGGGCCAGAGGGCTCGGAGGATCCGGGCCCGCGACGGAAGGTTCTGACCCGCAGCCCCTCCCCTCCCCCTCGTCCCTTGGCCTCCGCAGGTGTCCCTCCTCCAGGAGCAGCCCTGGTGCCCAGCGGCCGGGGGCAAGTCCAGACTGACTCGGGTTGGGGCCCTTGGCGTTCCGGGATCAGAGGAAGCTCAGGCGCTGGGCCTAACCCTAACCCCTCCCTGTGCGGGGGGCAGGGAGTGTGTTCCATAGAGGCGGACTGGGCCGCCCTGGAGCAGGGGGCAGGCAGGGGGGCAAGGGGGGTGGCAAGGTGCAGATCCGGGGGCTGGGAGGTGCCTGGAGCCGCCCGGTCCTCCGCCCGCCCCGTGGTTGCAGATCCTGGGCAGCGGGGAGGGTGGAGGCGGTGTGTTAGGACTTTGCAGACTCATCTCACTAGAGGTCACAGGCACAGATCCCAGAGGATGCTCACCGCCCACCACCCTCCTCGCGCCCAGCAGGCAGCGCCCAGCGCACGCACACACGGCCGCCCCATCTGTGACCTGCCGCCTGCATCCCTCCGTGGAGACCCGCGCCTCCCTCGGGGAGCCCACACCCCCTCCCTCCGGGCACGGTTCCCCCCACGGTCTCCTTCCTGTCCTCTCGTCCCCTCTCCTGCGTCGCCACTGCTCCGTCTCCCTGGCCCCATCCGGTCAGCACACAGATATACTCCAGTGTTTTCTGATTCACTAAAGTGAGAGCTCCCGGGACGCTGGTCTCACCACGTCAGCGCTCTCGCCTCCCACTGGCTCCCCGTCTCCTTCATCACAAAACTACCCCCACGTGTGTCTGTATCCCTCGTGCGGACACGTCGGCACCTGTTTGCTCCTGACACCTGGCCAGGCCTGGTCCCCACTGTCCACTGGACGGTCCACCGTCTGCAGCCCCAGAACCTCAGCTGTCGGCCCATCTGCAGTGGTCACTGTCCTGAGCGTTGCTGACTGACCTCCTTCTGCAGCCCAACTGCTCTGAGCGCCTCTTTCTGTGGAATCTGCGTCTCCCTGAGGCCATGGCCTCTATGTTGTTTGTATGATGATGACCCAAGAGTCTACCTGCAGCCGGGCCCATTCGCTGTGTTCCAGGCACACACAGCCGCCGGCCCCTGCCTTTCTGTCCTTGGAGACCCGTGACGCATTCCCCGAGCCTGGGCAAAGCAGGGCTCTTAATGTCCCGCCACAACCTGGCTCTGCCCCAGCTCCTGGGCTCAGAAGTGGAAGCTGGCGTCGTGCTGTCCAGGAGCTGGGAGCCTGAGGTGCTCTCAGCTTGTCTGTGAAGATGACAACCTAACCTCAGAGGGACATCCTCTGCCTGTTCCAGGTGCCCGTCTCACATGGGGGCAGGAGGTCCCACCTAGACTGGGGGCGGGAGGCGGTACAGGGGGGCCACAGGGCAGAGCAGAACCCCCGCTGCACCACTCCTGCATTTTCATCGAGTCTGATCCGCTTCCTCTCTGGTCCCCAAGTGGCCAGAGCCTGACCTCACCCTCCCTGGGGGCAGAAAATGGCCACATCCCGGACCATTTATTGATACTTTGTTCACCGATGGAAACGGGCAGTGAGAGGCTTGCCCACCCTAGTTCTCCCTGAGCCGCCTGTTTCTTCTTCCCAGGGGTTTCCTTGGTCCCCGCAGACCAGCTCTCCAGTGTCCTGTCCTCTTCCACGTGGCAGTTTTCCATTTCAAAAGGCAGTTTTGCTGTCACTTTTGAAGTTGTCTGGGGTCATTCTGATGGGTTCTCAAGCCCAGAACCCACATCCCATGCAGCTTTGCCTGACCGGTCTCCAGTCTGGATGGAGGGAAGGAGCATTCGTGTATTTGGAGTGAGTTTTGGATCGTGAAAACGGGAGCAGAGATATTTTTAAAAAGCTAACAATATTTCTCTTTCTAATTTTAATTGCCTCCTGCAGTACTGAGCCTGATTTTGATGCTTCTGGTTTTCTTTGAAACGTATTTGATATGAATGTCTCTGCTAATTCCTGACTCTGGAAAGTAAAGCAGAGTTTGATTCCTCGAAATCTAACAGCATTTACCGAACGTCTCCCTGGTGCTTATGACTCAACATGTGATGACAGATAGCGGAATTAAAACCTTTTAAGCCAAATGGAAATATCTCAAAACAAAATTTAAAGGAAATGAACAGACTACAGTAGACACACACGTTCCTGATAGATTGGTGGTATTTTGACGTGTTTCAAAATCTAATTTCTGATATCTTGAAAGTATTCACATTTTTTCAGATGAATAAAGTCATGTTTCTTCCAAAGGGAGATTATGATATTACCAAGAAAAACTCAAATATTTGGAAGAAAAATAGATGATTGTCCCCAGGCGAGCATTTCCATGAGTGTGGCTTCCAAGGTGTACCTGAAATAAGTCATAACTTCCTAAGTTCTTGATAGTGTGATAAACGCAGTATGATTAACGATTAACCTGCCCACGTTTCAGCAGG